AGCCATAAGTGGCGCCAACCATGTGACTCAAAATGCAACTTAAATGAAAGCTAAATTAAACCTAGTTTTGCCTAATCATCCTAAACAAGTATTCCTCCATAATTCCTATGCTAATGACCTAAATACAATGGTCAATGAAATAAAATGATAAGGAAAAATTACAAGAATGAAAATGAACCCAATATTGGGTGTCAAAAGCCCAAAGGCCCATGAAGCCCAATTCTAGGCGCAATAAGCCTAAAGCCCGAAATTCCTAATCTAGGGTCCAAAATACAAGACCAAAACAAAGTAAATTCCTATTCTATTAATATGCAATAAAAGTGGTGTCAAACAAGTAAAGCCCAAGTGAAAAGCACTCTAGGCCCACCAAGCCCATTGGGCCCACTAAGCTTTGAAGCAGTCAAATCTTCAAGTAATCTTCTGGTTATTGCTCTAGTGGTTGGACCCTTGGTCCATGCTCTTCCATCAATATATGTTTGGTTGAATGGTTTTCTTATTGTATTCTTATTTTCACTATTTAATTTATGAAATTATCAGGTTTTAACATATTGTTGTGAACTAATTGGCATCAAACAGGTTTGGATCATCCCTGCCCTGAGATATTTATGTAATGATAATGGTAGTAAAAACTTCAAACTCATATTTTTTATTTATGCTTGTAGGTCTTGGGACTATTGTTAATGCTGCCAAACCAAAACTTGGTTCTTTTGCTGCCATCTTTGGACTTGGAGCTGTTGGCCTTCTTGCATGTTACCCTTATGCCTTTGTGTGTTTGTGTGTGAGAGTGACCATTGTAATTTTTATACAACTGATAAATGGCCAATGTTAACTCTTGCTCTTATCATGGATGTTTGATCTAAATTGTAGGCTATTGAAGAGGCAACGATTTATACTACATCAATAATTATTGGGGTTGATTTAGTTTCCATTTGATTTGAATAAGGTTGAGTGTTTTACTTCCAACAAATGCTTCAGATTTAGTTCAATATAAATTAAATAGCTATTCACTTATTATTTGGTATTTCTTATTTTTTGTTCTTCTTGGAAACTAATGTCTTTGGGTACATTTTAACACAAAATTATGGCAGCCAAAAGGGTTTTTCCATGTCTCTACATCAAGCACCAAGAAAATCCTCATCATGGGAGGCACCAGGTTTATGAGTGTCTTTTTATCTAGGCTCTTTGTCAAAGAAGGTATATGACTTGTCTATTTCACATTAATTAGTCATTTTGGTTGGCTTGCATTTGCCGTAAGGAATGATTTTTCATTGCTCCTAGAAGTATTTATTGATTTGATTATAAACATATGAATTTGGCAGGTGACTTTATTTACAAGAGGTAAAATTCCTGTCACTCAGCAATTACTAGGTGAATTAGATAGTCATTATGCTGATGATTTTTCTTCCATGGTATGCTAATTATAAATGGAAATATTGGACTAACCTTCTTGTAAGGAATGATGTGAATCTGTGACTTTTCATCTTTGTTACATTTTTTTTCAGAGCATTTACTCTATACAATTTTTAATTTCCCAAATGTTGCATTTCAAAGGAGACAAGAACTTTGACTTTATAAAATTCAATATCTTGGCACAACAGTTTGATGTTGCTTATGACATAAATGGTGTGCGCATTCCTACTTGTTATCATATATATATATATATATATATATATATATATATATATATATATATA